GAGAGACAGGAGAGACAGGAGAAGGAGGAGGGGGAGAGGAAAGAGGAGTTGCAAGGGGCGGACGCAAGGCATGAGGGGAAGGAGGAGAGGTGGGAGGGGAAGGAGGAGAAAGATGACGATGATGAGGATGAGGATGAGGATGCGAATGAGGATGATGCTGCTGTTGCTGCTGCTGCTGATGATTAGGATGATGATGCTGAGAAGGATGAGGATGAGGATGAGGATGACGATGGTGATGATGATGCTGCTGCTGATGATGATGCTGATGATGATGATGCTGCTGCTGACGATGATGATGATGATGATGATGATGCTGTTGCTGATGCTGATGCTGATGCTGATGCTGCTGCTGCTGCTGCTGCTGATGATGATGATGAGGAGGAGGAGGAGGAGGAGGAGGAGGAGGAGGAGGATCGGGGGAGGAGGATGAGTAGGGAGGAGGGAGAGGGATGACGCATCTGCTCGAAAACCGCTCCCTCGCCATGCGGGCAGGAGAAGGAGGACGTGGAGGTCGAGGCAGCAGGAGCAGGAGGATGAGGAGGGAGGACCCTCCCACGGCATAGAAGTAGGATGTAGGATGTTGGAGGACAGGGGGGCAGGGGCGTGAACGGTGGAGCGGAGGGGGCGTCCGCAGCTGTTTTGGCCCAAGCAGTCTGCGGCCAGGGCCCCCAAACCGCTCCTGCATGCTGTCCCCAGACAAGGAGCCGCGCCCGGGAGGCAGAGCCGCCGCGACGGCCAACATCTGGACGGCCGCGGGCGATGGGGACGTCGGCCGGGTCGAGGACCTGATGCGGACACAGGTCGGCGACTATACAAAGGGTACGGTTACGCCGGGGTGTGGTTTGCGACCGGCGTCGCTGGGGCCTGGGGGGGCACGACGCTGTCCGCGTCGGGCCTCCTCGGAGCGCGGCGGCGGGCTCCATCTAGTTCCCCGCCCGCCCCCCAGGATGCCCCCCGGGGTGCCGGCTGCAAGCCGCACCCTCCGCAGCCACATCCTTCGGCGTCGCCGAGCAGGGGCTGTCCCCGACGTCGCCAGACGAGGTGCCGGGGTCGGCTGGGTCGGGGAGCAGCCTGGGCCAGGCGGGCCTCTGGGGGCACAGGAGCGGCCCACGCCGGCCGGCTCTGGGCCGTCCTCGTGCGGCCCTGGGGGGTCCGTCTCTCGAGAGCCCCCTCGAGTCCTGAAGAAATCACGACGGGAGCTTTTTCGCTCTTTTCGGCTCTTGGGAGCCCTCGCCAGGCCCCGGGGCCGTCCACAAGAACGATTCAGCTACAGGGAAAGGGTCGGGACTTCCAGGGCCGCGAATGGAAGAAATCAGGACGACGCATGTCTGGGTCCTCGGCCCCTCAGCCACGCGCGCAGGGGGGGGGGCAGGGGGGAAGGGCTTCTAGTAGAAGCACCCCTGCTTCTCAGAAGGCGCGGGCCTGGTCAGTAGATGCATGGTCAGTCTGTAAGATGCAGGGCCGGTGCCTTCTGAGAAGCAGCCTTCTTCTGAAAAGCCCTCTTCCCTCCTTTCACCCCCTCGTGCGCGCCACCAGCCCCTGGTCCGCAGAGGCCTCCCCAGAGACCTCCGCAAGGCCTCTCGGAGGATTTCGGAAGGTCTCCCTGGAGGCCCAAGGCAAGGGCAGAGCGTCCGAAGCTCCAATCCTTCATCCTCCTCCTCCTAGGATGTCCACCTCCTCGTCCTCCACCGAGCTGACACCGTTCTGGAGGAGGGGGGCAGCACAGGGCCTCGCCGACTGCCTGCGTGCACGGGGCCACATCGAAGGGCCCGCCGTCCCTCGCAGTCCCTCGGGGTCCCCCCTCCATCCTCCTCCAAACATATCCCTGGGGGTAGTTTCTATCGTTCTGGGTTCATGGCTGAGTGTGCCAGGTCCATCGAGAGCAAAAACGCCGCGATTCAAACGACCAATCCGCCAGATGTCTGGGTCCCCAGTTCTCTTCCAGATGAGCGTCCCTCCCCTAGATGAGGTGGAACGACAGGGGGGGGCCAGTTCAGTTGGAAAACGTCGAGCTCGAATCGGCGATGCATTGCCGACATATCGGCGACAGGCCCAAGATGGCGGAACCGGACGCTCCTTGGCGGGGTGGGCAAAAGTAGGCATGCCAAATAAGAAATCGTCCTCTTCTGTTCACCTCCTTCTCATCCTTTTCCTTCTGCTGCCATATCTTCCCAACATATACCCTACTTGTTTCACGCGGTTGCCAACGGCGCAACCTCGAGTCTGCCGACGCGTCCTTCCAGATGCATGGTTTTGGCTTGTTTGCTTGCTCGACGGGCCCGCAGAGCTCTGGGGCACCCTGCAAAGCTCAGGGTCGGTGAAGCTGTGTTCTCAGAGTTCGTATCTTAAGATTTCTGCTCGCATGTGCCTACTGTAACAGGCCCCCTTCGTCGATGCATGGGCGATTGGGTGTTGGTGCACTCCCCCCTGAGCCCATCACTGTCCCCGCTGGCTTTCGGACCATGGCTCTGGTCCCTAGGGCCGCTCGGGATGACGCGGGCACCCCCAGAACGCTCTCGGCGAGGCGCAGCCGTTGGAAGGCTGGAAAACCGACGAGAACCGACGAAAGCGCAAGAACAACTCGAACCTCGAACCGATGCATCGCCGCTTCCAGCTCGATGTCTCCCCCTGACGAAAATCGCACAAACAACTCGAACCTCGAACCGATGCATCGCCGCTGCCAGCTCGATGTCCCCCCCCCGACGAAGACGCAAACACCATTCGAACCTCGAACCGATGTGTCGCCGCTTCTAGCTCGATGCCTCCCCCCACTGCCCCTTGTTGCTGCCCCTATCCCTGTGATGGGCATCACCTTACCTCGATGCCGTTCTGAAGGATCACCTCCGTTTTTGAAGACGCATCCCTGAGCTTGTCGTCGCCTTGTGGCTTGCCGATCCCAGGGACGTGGATGAGTTCGAAGCTGGTTGCGAGGCGGGAGAATCGGCGAGAACCGACGAGCACGGAAGACGAGCTCGAGCCCCGAACCGACGCGTCGCCGATTCCAGCTCGATGTCTCCCCCCCCCCCTGGCCCAGCACGAGCGAAACCGATGGGCAAGGACGAGCGGCGTCCCAGGCGTGCCCCCGCATCCTTGCCCCCCCGGTTCGCCTCCTTGACTACTCGAGGGCCAGCCCGGCGTCCTCGCCGTCGAGAGCTCGATTGGGAGAGGGCGCCGCGGGAGGAGCCAAGACCCTACCGAGGGCCGCGCTGCCACAGGAATGCAGAGGGCATGGGTCGCGGGACACAGGATACACGAGGGTACCCGAAATTTGGCAGGGTCGACCTGCCAATCAAACTCGACTGTATCGCGCATCCTTACCCTTTGGTCGTCGAAAGTAGGTATTCTTGGAATCCCAGGTTCCAATCTACTCTAAGCGCCTTCCTGCTTCAAGTATCGAGTGGCTTCGCCTTTTCCGTCCTCAGGGGGCGGGCGGAAGCCCAATCTATCTTCAACGCCTTCTTTCTTCATGTTCTTACCTACTTCTTCCGATCGATAGGTACTCTCAGAGGGAGGAGGCGGAGGAGGAGGAGGAGGAGGAGGAGGAGGAGGGGGAGGAGGAGGAGGAGGAGGAGGGGGAGGAGGAGGAGGAGGGGGAGGAGGAGGAGGAGGGGAGGCGGCGGAGGAGGAGGAGGAGGACCCCCTCCCCCTCCTACTTGTGGTGGTGGCGGTGGAAAACAAGCCCGCCACTGTATCTCTCCCCTGCTGTTCCTCCCCCTGAGCCCCCCCGAGCTCCCGCGGGCGACCGGGCCGACCCCGGGGCGCCGAGCGGCTACACGCCCGCGCACGCGGCAGCGGCGGGGGGGCACGCGCGGCTGCTGGCGGCGCTGCTGGGCCGGGACGCGGCGGCGGCCAACGTGCGGGAGCGCGGCAGCCAACCTCGGGCGTCCAGGCCTCGGTAACGAAGGGAGGAGGAGGAGGAGGAGGAGGAGGAGGAGGAGGAGGAGGAGGAGGAGGAGGAGGAGGAGGAGGGGGAGTGCACGAGATTCTTTCCAAGCGAAGAGGAGGTTTCTCGGGCGGGCCTTCTCGGAGGAGCGCGCGGAGGGCGAGGCGCCGCCGTCTCGGCTACAGCTCGGCATCCGACCTCGAGGATCGATGTTTTTAGATCGAACGTCACGGAGGGTTTCGCTCGTCTCGGATTGCGTGCATGTGAGCGAAGAGCGCTCAGTAGCACCGAGTAGCGTGGAAGGGCGCGCAGTAGCGCCCAATGGCGCCGAAGAGCGCTGAACTAGCGCCGAAAAGCGACATGTTGGAGTGACCTTTCGCCAGAGTGAGCTCTGGTGCGGGCCCCGTGGGGCCCCCCCTGGTCGCCGAGATCTTTGCCGAGGGCGACATGGGACAGCGGGGCGGCCTGCGCACCTGACCTTTCGGCCTCCCAGCGGACCTCGGAAGCCGCACACCAGAGGTCACGCTTGCCTGGGGTCACTCTTGCGTGTGGCCGACTCGCGAACACATCGAGTCGGTATCTCTCTTCGTCTCCGGCCACACCCGCGTGCTGGATTCGGGCCTCGGGGGGCCGTCAAGCACCGACTTAGGATGAGATGCCAGTCCCTTGGCGTCGCTCGGACGCGTGCGTCTTTTCGCGGCGGGGGCCACCGCGGACCATCAGAGACAACTCGCAGGCAACAGCCGGCACCGTGACCAGATCGCACTGCAGCTAGAGCAGCTAGAGACGTGCAGCGACCGAAGGAGAAGGGAGGAGCAAGAGGCATCCACGCGACAAACCTACGCGAAGAAGTGCAACACTTTGGCACTGTTTCGCGTATGGTTTGAAAACAACTGTGTTTTGACAGCAATGCACGCGGAGTCTTGGATCCCCGTGCGGCAAAACACCAGATTGCACGCGCGAGGGAGACGGGAGGGCCAGGAGCAACACACGCGGCAAACAGATGCGAACAAGTGCAACACGAGCCGCGCGGGGCAGAGCAAATGGCCTGCACGCGCGAAGCCGGACAGCAAAAGGCCACGGGGGGGGCGGCGGACGTCCGAGCGGCTGCGGGGTCCTCGGGTGTCAGGGAGCGTCGGGAGGCCTTTGGGCCTGGGGCCCGCGGGGGAGGGAGCGCACGCCTTCCTCATAGCAGGAGTGCTGTGCCGTGAAGTCGGGCACGGCCCTCTACGGGAGGGATCTCCACACATGGTTTAATTTTTATACCCAGGCGATCGCAAGCATGGATCCGGGGGGCGTGGATTAGCGGCCGGTCCCGTTTCCATGGGAAATCGCGGATTTCTGCCGCCGAGCGAGGCGGCACCGGCCGCATTTCTGGGTTGGGCACCTCCCCCGATCCATGGATTTGGCGACTGCGCGCCAAATCCATGGATCGCTAATCCATGTTTGCGTGCCCCCGATATACTGGGGGGTATTTTTGAACATGTGTTAGACTATTTCTTGCTTTCCTTCCAACATATGCCTGTAGGAGGACATGCCCGACATAAGCGTACGACGTTTCTGTTCTTCGTCGGAGTCGGGCTCTGCGGGCCCGTGGATCGGGGGCGGCCAAGAGGAGGGTGGGGACTGCGTGTGTGTGCATATCATGGCCAGTGCATGGAGATCTTCCCGGATTTCAATGCCCCTTCTCTTAAAGCAATGCGTTCCCCCCCGGGCCGCGTAAGTGCATCGGGCCATGGTCTGCTGAAGATGTTGTATATTTGGAGATGGTGTTGATTTCTCATTTCTGCAAAAAAAATATTGTTGATCCCCCCTCACCGGTGCATCTTGTTTTTTCTCAGTCAAAGTGTGCCCCTCGACGCTCGCACCCTGTTTTTTTTGACAGGGAAAGTCTTCCTGGCCAAACTGGGCCCCTGGCCCCCCGGACTACAACAGCAACGGCTCCCGCTTGAGAATTCCTCCCAATTTACTCAGGACCCCCCCCTCCCGTCTGAGACTTCCTTCCATTTTACGAAGGAACGGCGCTCCCGCTTGAGACTTCCTCACAATTTAGTCTGGGTCAAACTGCGTTGTTGCTCCCCCGGACTACAACAACAACGGCTCCCGCCTGAGACTTCCTTCAACTTTACTCAGGACCCCCACTCCCGCCTGAGACTTCCTTCCAATTTTCTCAGGATCGGCGCTCCCGCCTGTGACATCCTCGCAATGTAGTCAAGGACCCCCCTCCCGTCTGAGGCTTCCTCACAGTTTACTCAAGAATGGCGCTCCCGCTTAAGATTTCCTTGCGCTAAAGTCTAGACCCCCGCTCCCGCCAGACACCCCCTTTTCAGGAATTGCGTTCTCGCCTGCAACTTTTTTCGCAGTTCACTCAGAAATCGGGCACCACATTCGCCTCCAACACCTCGCCGAGCAGCACCAGAGGTGTTACATGGCGCTGTTTATGGCGCGACCCATGGCGAAGCCTTTGTTAACCTGTGTTGGAATGGCTGGCGCAAGCCATGGCGCAAGCTGAATCGCAACTCACGGCACAGATCATCGTCGCCCCTCCGGCCCCTCTAATACCTCCTTTCCTCCGATCCCCTCGTCCTCCCGATTTGTCTTTTCCCTTTCGTTTTCCTCTTTAGGGGCTTCTCCAATTACACGTGGCCAGGAAGGAGTATATCCCCCAAGGGGGGTACGATCGAAGACGAAGAGGGCGGGTATCCAGGGTTTGGGATATGCATAGTGAATGACACGCGGGCCGGTAGAAACGAACAGTCTTTTAATGATTGTTGTAGTTGTTGTCGTTGTTGCTGGTGTCTTTGGGGTCTGGAGGCCGTTTTGGGGGCCCTGGGGACTTCATACATGGATCAAGGACGAAACACTGGCCAGATCTGGTCCGTTCTGGTTAACGATTCCGAGCTTTCTTTGAGGCGTTGGCGAGCATACTGGTCCCGATGCCCTTCCCTTGTTTTTGGTTTCTTGGGTCCCTCTTCGGACTTGCTTTGAAATTCTGGTCACAGCGCACCCCAGGAGTGGTCCAGGGAGTAAATTGCGGTATCGGAATGTTTTTGTCCCCCAGGATCTGGACGGTGACGCGCCGCTGCACCACGTGGCCATCTCGGAAGCCGCCGCCGTCGTCGTCGTCGTCGTCGTCGTCGTCGTCGTAGAGATGGGGGAAGGAGAGGACGGGAGGAGGAGGAGGAGGAGGAGGAGGAGGAGGAGGAGGAGGAGGAGGAGGAGAGGGAGGAGGAGAAGGAGGAGAGGAGGGGGAGGAAGGGAGGAGGAGGGGAGGGGCAGGATTGGGGAAGAGGGGAAAAGAGCGAATGATGATGACGAGAAACAGGACGGGGATGAGGACAGGAGGTGGGGAGGAGGAGAAGGATGGGCGGAGGAGGATGCGGATGGTGAGAGGAAGGACGATCAGGAGGAGGATGACGACAAATATGGGGGACGAGGAGCAGGAGTAAGCAGAAGTAGGAGCAGGATGAGGACAAAAGCGTTCGGAAGGGGAGAAGGACGAAGGGGGGGGGAGGGGGAGGAGGGGAACGGAGAGCGGGAGGACGAGGGGCGGGAGAGGGCGCAGAATGAGGATCGGGGAGGGGTTTAGTGGGGGGAAGGGCGGAGGTCGAATGGGCAAGGGAGGGGAGAGACGGGGAGAAGAGGACTGCGAATTGGGGGGACGGGAAACGAGAGAGGCAGATGGGGGGAGGGCAAGCTGGGCGCTCTCGCGCCATATCTAACATCTTAACCCTCCCTCCCATGCCTTCCCTTCGCGCTGATTCTCTTTCTCAATGTGCGTATGCGTCCCATAAATGACCTGGAACTCCCTTGGAATGACAGTCGTAAAAGGGGAGCTGTGTACATAGGAGGAGGATGAGGAGGAGGAGGAGGCGGAGGTGGAGGAGGACGACGACGAACAGTAGCAGCGGGACTTGTAGTGTAAGGAGCTGGAGGAGTCGGCGGGCCAGGGGAGGCGGATGAGGGGAAACGAGGGATGCAGCAATAACGAGGAAGCAGTCGGATGCAGAAACGTGGTCCGTGCTGGGGTGATCGCGCCATTCTGAACGACGAGGGCAAAGCGCCGATGCTAGAATGTGGCCAAGGCTCCAGCGGCGGCATCACTTTGAGACACCGGAAACATTTCTATGGAAACACCATAGGAATGACCACAGGGAGAAGCCGTACGCGGAGGTGGTGGCGGGCTGCTCCCCGGTCATCGTCGGGGGAGAGGAGAGCAGTATGCAGATCGAGTAGATGCACAATTCGCAGGATACTGGCGGGGGTCTGGGGACCATGGTGGAGGAAGCGGGGCCATAGATTTCAAGCCGCGTGGATTAGCGACAGGTCCCGCTTCCGTGCAGCATCGGCACGCTCCGCCGCCAACGCTCCAGAGCCACGGCTCCGTACTCCATGTTGACGCGTGCCCGACATGTGCGCGGGGAGAGGGGGGGGGGGAAGCCAGGGAGGCCCAGGCCCTGGGCTGGCGACGCAGGATCTCAGCAGTGCCGCGCCCGCGCACTCCACCCGAGTGCGGTGCCGCTGGGCAGCGCTGATGGCCACACTGCGAGCAGGGCGCGGCAGGGCTGCAGAGGCCATAGGCGGGAGTGCGGGGCGCGCCCCGCGGGCTGGGCGAGGCCCGGGCGACGGCAGCCACGGCCCGACCGGCTCGACCTTGGAGGGCAGCCCTGGCCTGATGCGCGGGGCTCCCTCTGTCGCGCAGCAGGGCGAGGCCAGGGCAAGGGCAGCCACGGCCCGTGGCCCGTGGCCCGTGGCCCGACCAGCTTTGCCTGCGCTGGCCTGGCCCGCGCCCCCCCCGTGGCTGCACCCTCCTTGGAGTCGGCTGGGGGTCTGATGTGGCCCCCCAGCGCTAGCTCTGGCCAGCAGAACGGGTGGGGAGGGAGCCGTTTTCGTCCTCTTTGGACTTGCTGGGGGCTTCTCGTCGCCACGGCTGGGCGCAGGCGCAGCTCGAGAAGCTTGTGCGCTTGGACCCTTGGAGGGGTCGGGGGACTGATTTCCTCGGACCGGCTTTTCCTCGGGGCCCCTCCAGCGCAGACTTCCCGGCCGCCTCCGACTTCCTTTCGCGCTCTCTGTCACTCGCCCGCTCGCCAAAGGAGCTCGGCGAGGATGCCCTGCGCTCGGTCGTGCGGCTTCTGCTGGACTGCAGGGCGGACCCCGAAGCCAGGACCGAGAGGGCTGCGGCGACGGCGGCGGCGGCGGACGACGACGAGGAGGACGACGACCGACGACCGACGACGGACGACGGACGACGACGACGACGGACAGCGACGACGGACGCGCGACGCCAGAAGCCAGGACCGAGAGGGTTGCAGTGACGGCGGCGGCGGCGGACGACGACGAGGAGGTCGACGACGACGACCGACGACGGGCGACGGACGACGACGGACAACGACGACGGACGACGACGCGACGACGATGCGAGGCGAGCCGGGGCAGGCCGTTGCCTGGGGGCCGGGAGGGGGGGCGTCGCCGCGCACCGCTGGCCGCCCCGTCACCCTCAGTCCCTGAGGCCCTAAGCCTTTGATGACTTTTCACCAATCGACTCTTGGGGATCAAGCTCAAGCAGCGGCGAAGCGTCCTGGCTCGCCTATAGCCCTACCAAACAATCTTCTGAGAACCTTTTGTGGTTTCCACGAACGGTTCTTAGAACATGTCTGGCGGAGTCTGTCTTGTTTTACCACCTTGGGTTTACGTTCTAAGAACAGTGTTTTGGTTATCAGAACATCCTTGGGTTCTAAGCACATTTCGTGGTATGACTATAGGAATGCCGGGACGGCTGGTCCCTGCTCGGCAAGCCCAGACATGACCGCGTCGGGCGGCTTCTGGCCATCTGCGGCCTCGGGGTGCCCTCGCTGGGCCTCGGGGCCGCCAACAAAGCGACTCGGGAGGAGAAACCGGTCCTCGGCAAAGGGTCGGAACTTCCGGGGACCCCGTATCTAAGAGATCATGACGTCGCACGTCTGGGAGCCGGACACGTCAGTTCGATGCTCGTTTCGGGGACCCCAGAACGAGTGGAGCGAGTGGCTCCAGGAAGGTCCCCAGAGCGAGCATCCAACGTCAGGGTCCACGCAGAAATCAATAGAGGTGAGGAGTCCAGGCGAGCCCAGGCAAATCCAGAGCAGCCCAGGGGCACTCTGGGGCACCTCGCGGCCGCTCCGGCGCGAGCCGAGGGCGGGCAGGAGTCGTCGCGCCCTCGACGGCTCCAGCCCGCTCAGCCAGCGCTGTCCTGGCGTAGAGCCCCCAGCGCGCCGCACCGCCGAGAGCATGCCGCCACAGCCGCCTCGCCGCTCCTCGGGAGCGCGCCCCTCGCCGCTCCGCGCGGCTGCGCGCCTCGCGCTCCCCGCCTGCGGCTCGTCGCCGCCTCTGGAGCGGGCGGGCGTGCCCGGTCCACGTCTGCCTGCAGCAGCCACGCGCAGAGGGGGGATATGTCGGGGGCGGAAAAGAGGGGGGTGATGACTAGGGGGGGGTGGATATCATGGCGCGGGCCATGATATTTCCCCAGATCTCATGGCGCCTCTTCTGATTTTATTACGTCCCAGGCCCCCCCGCTGGGCCGCGCACATGCCGACGGTCATGATTTGCACCCCCCCCTCTTGGACACCCCCCTCTTGGCCGCTCCCGAATATGGGGGGGAGGGGGGAGGGCTTCTTAGCAGCACCCCTGCTTCTCAGAAGGCGCGGGCCTGATCTACAGACGCAAGGCCAGCGTCTTCTAAAAGAAGCAGCCTCCTTCTAAGAAGCCCTCCCCCCTCCCGCTACCCCCTTGTCCACGCCTGCCTGCAGCATCCCGGCATGCCTCTACGTGGAGCTCGAGTCGCAGAAGAAAGAACGCCATAAACATACCCTTTTGGCGCTCCGCGCGGCCCCCCAGCGGTGCCTCCGGCGCCGCCCCTGGCGCGCTCCGCGCGCCAGGGAGGGGGGTCCAGCGCCGATCCGAGAAATCCGCGCGGACTTCAGAGTTTTTATGTTTATGTCATTGTTCGTTCCCCTGACCTCACTGGCGGGTAGGTTCGCGTCGTGTCGACCGACGGCGACCCCGCCGCCAGCGTTCGACGTGGAGCGCCGCGGGCGACCCAGAAGCGGTCGACGCTGACCGCCCTGACGTTTCGGAAACGTCCGATCGGGTCAAGGTGGGAAGATCCCCGCGGCGTGAGCAACCAGCGCCAGGGTCGGCACGACACGAACCCGCCGTGCAAGGATACATGTTCTGACGGAGCAGCCTCATTTTTCCCTGCCTAGGCTCTGCCTAGAAGGGTTCTTACTCTCTGAGCTTAAAGGGGCCGGGCAGTGTAAAACGCCCCGGGCGGTTCCCCCAGGATCCGCCCCGCGGTTCCCCCAGTGACGTTCCCTTAGCTTTGCGTTGCTTATCTCATCTTAGCTCGGCTTATTTCATCTTAGATTACCTTAGCTTCATCTTAGCTCAGGTTTGTCTTAGCTTAGCTTACCTTCATCTTAGCTTCGCCGAGCTTTAGCATAGCAGAGCACGGCATAGCATAGCAGAGCGTAGCACAGCACAGCGCAGCACAGCATATCATAGCAAAGCCCAGCATAGCACAGCATAGCGCAGCATAGCAGAACATAACATAATTAGCATAGCGCAGCACAGCACAGCACAGCATAGCACCGCGCAGCATAGCACAGCATAGCATAGCATAGTTGGTTGTTCCCTACCTAGGCTCTGCCTAGAAGGGTTCTTACTCTCTGAGCTTAAAGGGGCCGGACTGTGTAAACCGCCCCGGCCGGTTCCCCCAGGATCCGCCCCGCGGTTCCCCCAGCGACGTTCCCTTTAGCTTTGCGTTGCTTATCTCATCTTAGCTCGGCTTATTTCATCTTTGCTTATCTTAGCTCAGGTTTATCTTAGCTTAGCTTACCTTCACCTTAGCTTCGCTGAACTTTAGCATAGCAGAGCACATCATATCATAGCATAGCATAGCGTAGCATAGCATAGCGCAGCACCGCATATCATAGCATAGCCCAGTATAGCATAGCATAGCGCAGCATGGCATAGCATAGCATAGCGCAGCACCGCACAGTACAGCATATCACAGCGCAGCATAGCATAGCATAGCATAACATAGCATAGCATATCATAGCATAACATAGCGCAGCTTAACATAACACATCATATCATAGCATAGCATAGCATAGCACAGCGCAGCATGGCATATCATATCATAGCATAGCATAGCGCAGCATAGCATATCATAGCATAGCATAGCGCAGCATAGCATGGCATAGCATAGCATAGCATCGCATAGCATAGCATAGCATAGCAATTAATGCTGCTTTCCTAGGGGCTCCAACTTCTAGGTAGGGTCGCACTGGGGTAATTATTCTCATTTTAGCTGCGCGGCCGCTCCTCTTCTCGGCCATTCGGCTCCCCAGTGCGCAATTCGCTTCGCCATTCTTGCCGGCTGGGTCTTCCAGTTTTTACGACTCCTGGGGCTTGGGGGTTCGCTGCGTTGACAAAATGCCACGACCAGCTCGCGAGTTCGCCGAGTCCGAGGCAAAACAAACAGCCATGCCACGCTGCTTGCAGACGTGGCCACCCGAAAATCATGGTCGGAGGGGAGTGGCCATGAGAAACATCAGGGGGACAGGAGCCAGGTCACCCAATTTGGGGTGGCGGTAAATGGTCTGGCCTTTTCGCGTAGGGCGCAGTTTGTCAGGGTCCTGGCAACTCTTCTGCCTCGCCGAGGTCTCTTGGTGGCTGCCTTCTTCATTGCCGAGGTCTTTTGCGAGACGACGTGTGGGGCCTCGGCGTAGCTTTCGGCGGTGAGCTGGGTCACGAGCGAGACACGGCTGGAGACTCGGCGGCAGCCCAGGCCGAAGTATTCAGTTGATAAGTCATAAGGGAGCCTCGCGCGTGGGCGGTAGACATAGAAAAAGCCAAGGTTTCGCTAGGGATTGGTTTTCCCCCAAAGCGACGAACATTCTTCCAAAGCCCCCCCGAACCCTTTCCGGGAGGTTTTCGGCTGTTTCGACAGGAAACCAGTCCCCAGCGAACCTTGGACTTTCTAACTGTAGATCATGGTTGTTTCTGTTTCAGCCTTGGCAATCGTCGGCTGGAAGTGTTCCGCCTGCTCCAGCTGAAGGGCATAATTGCCAGGTCAAGGAAGACTTCAGGTGTCTGTGCTACAGCGCGTTCTGTGGTCGCTTGGAGGGGGGTTGGAACTGGAGTCCCCCCAACCCCTCCCCTCCCCCTCCTCCCCTATTTCGCCTCCATCCCTCTCCTCGGGCCGGCGCCTGCGTCGGCGGCGGCTGGCGGCGGCGGCGGGGATGACGACTTCGTTTTCTGGGCCGGCGCCGGTGCCCGCCGGCGCCTTCTGCGGCGGGCGGCGGCGGCGGGGAGCGTCGACGAGGACGACGGCGACGATGACGACGTCGACGACGCTCCGTCACCGTGCCTTGGTTTTGGGTCAGGGTCCTAATGGATGCCTCTTGGGGTCTCGTCGGAGGGCTCTCGGGGGCCTCTGAAGGGCATTTGTGCAGCCTCCTGGGCGCCTCTTGGGCGTCTCTTGGGGCCTCTCTGAGGTGGTGGTGGTGGTGGTGGTGGTTTTGGGCTGTGGTGGTGGTGGTGGTGGTTGTGGCGGCGGTGGTGGTGGTGGTGTGGTTGGTGGTGGTGGTGCTGGTTGTTGTGGTTGCTGTGGTGGCAGGTTGTGGTGGTGTTGGTGATGGTGGCGGTGGTGGTGGTGGTGGTGCAGTGGTTTCTGGTGATGGTGGTGGTAGTTGAGGCGGTGGTGCGTGAACGTTGTGGTGGCGGTGGCGGTGGTGGTGTGGTGGTTTGTCGTAGTGGGTGAAGCAAGTGGTGGTTTGGCGTGGTTTGGCGTGGTGTGGTGAAGGATGCCGCAAGCCGGTTCCGTTTCAGCATGGGGCCCTCGCCAGAACGGCATGCCCAGGTGGCACTGGCCTTTCAGTGGGGCGCCCTTGATAGTGAAGAGGAACGCTTGCATGGACGTGTGTGGGGGGGGGGGACTCGGGACGGGAGGGTGTGCTGCAGCATCGCTGATCTATCTTGGGTTCACCCTGGTTCTTTTTCTGAGTCATGCTGCGAGGCGCTCACGTCGCCTGAAGCGTTATTACGGTAGGTTCATGCGGCGTTGGCGCACCTGCGACGCTGGCGAAGGCGTACAAGGTTGAATTCTGCGACGCGGAAGCACCGATGGACACGGTGACGCCACTGGACCAGGCTGAGTTCCATTTTGATCGATCGGGGCCGCGATCGAGTCAAGGGTGAACGATCGACTCGGCATCAGAAACCTTTGCGCGTGCCGACGCCGCGCGAATCTACCGTTCTCGGATCCTCCTCCTTCTCCCACTCTTCGTCATCCGCTACTCTCTGCTCCGCCACGAACAGATCGACGCAGAACTATGCACAGGCACCCTCCAATGGATGGTTCCCGGGCCTAAGGGGATGGTGGCGGTGTGTACACGTCACTACCTGGGAGTCAGCGACTTTGATACACCGCCGCCCTCCCTGGAGGTACATGCAGAACTCGTCGGAGGGCGTCTGTGTATAAATATGAATATATATATATATATATATATATATTTATGTATATTTGTATATATATATATATATGTATATATGCTTTCGTGGCGTGCCTGCGTGCCGTGAGTTGCACCCTGCGGCAGCCAACCGCTCGGGCCCCTGGTGAGGCTGCGGTGGCCTGCCAGGACCAGCGTCAGGCGGGGTGCCTCTGGGGCCTTCTCTCTCACGCTCCAGGGTGCTGTCGAGGGTCGTCGTTCGTGGAGCGGGCGCCCAGCTGGACTGAATTGCGTCAGCCTTGGCCTGCGAGCGCATATTTTCTGATAGAGTCGGAAGGGACCATGAGGTAGCGATGCCGCAGCCAAGTCCAGGGGTGAGGCTGGCGTGAGTCCACAGCCGTATCTGGCCCAAGCACCTCCAGTCTCGCCGACACACATGTTGCGTTAGTCGCCGCAAACCTCTGAATGCCGACGCCATCGCTTCTGGATGCAGCCGCAGGCATCGATCATGGGAAGCGCGAGACATCAGGTATTCGAGCCCTCGGGCTCTTCCGCCTCAGCAGCTGTCAAAAAGTATGGTGATAACAGGCAGTGGAGTGCAGCACTAGAGTTGTTTCGCGATGAGCTGCGGTCCAGTGTGCAAGTCGGCACCACTTTGTACAACGTTGCAATCAGCGCTTGCGGAAAAGGCAGGCAGTGGCAACAGGCATTGTCGTTGTTTCGCGAATTGCAGGGCTCTGGACTTGAGCTGGATGTCATCACCTTTGGTGCTGGAATCAGCGCCTGCGAGAAAGGTGGGCAGTGGAAGGGGGCGGTATCGTTGTTGAGAGTGCTATCGGCCTCGATGCTGCAGCAGAGCGTGGTCTGCTACAGTGCTGGGATCAGCGCGTGTGAAAAAGGTGGGCAGTGGCAGCAGGCGCTGGCGCTTCTCGGTGAGATGCCAGGCTTGAAGCTTGAGCCGAACACCATCAGCTACAACGCTGGCATCAGTGCCTGCGAGAAAGGGCGGCAGTGGCAGCAGGCGCTGTCTCTGTTCGGAGAGCTGCGGGGCGCGACGCTGCAGCCGAGCATCACCAGATTACCTTCCCGAGTCGGCCCTATATGCTTCCCTTGCTGCTTCTTCCCCGTCCTTCCTCGCACCATGCTCACGCTGCACGCTGTCTCTGGTCCGAAGGCTCGGCGCCCCGGCGCCACCGCTCCGTTCCTTGCTGGGACCGCGCGCCCGAGCGCCCTGGGAGCGTCTGTGAGAGGTGCCGCTCCCCCTTCCCGCGGGGGGGGGGGGGGCGCCCTGGCTTCCCCCCCCCCCTGGGCGGCTGCGAGGTGCCTCGTGGAGGTCCTCCCCTCCCCGCCGCTCCCCTGGCGGACCTCTTCTCCGCCCCCTGCGGGCCTCGTCCCGCTCTCTCTCCTCTCCGCGCAGGCCGCCTAGTGCCTAGTCATGCATCGCCACCGTGCCTGGCGCCAGGGCCCTCCCAGGGCGCTGGGATGGTGTGCGTGCCCTGCTGGCCTCAGCCAGGAGGGCGTGTGCACCATGCCAGGATTCGGTCGGGCAGGTCGGAGGAATAGCCCAAAGTAGCCCCCTAATGTTTGTTGCATGTTCGGGGAATGTTGGTGCATGTTTGGACTATGTTTGGTTTTTCTTTCAAAATCCGTCTGTAGGAGGACATGCCCGACCTAATGCCACGACCCGGGATGGGCCCGGGCAGGCATGGTGGTGATGCAGCAGTACCCTCTGCGCATCCAGAGCCCTCATGGGACATCCGGGGCGGCCCAGTGGACTCGAAGGCGCTCCCACCAGGGGCGGCCTGTCCCCCGGCCTCCATTTTTCCCCGCGCCTCGGCTTCGGCTTCTGCTGTGGGTGCACCGTGAAGCGCCTTCGGGCTCGCTCACCCGAGCCGGTTGTCCGCTCGCAGGGGTGCTCCCGCGCGTTCCTCTCCCAACAGGAGGGAGGTCAACGACGCGAGGGCGAGGAGGTGGAGGGCGAGCAGGGACGGAGGTGGAGAAAGACCACAACGGGCGCGCGGGTGGACCAGAACAGGCGGACGGGTCGGGTCGGATCCACGGGTGCCCGAAGTCGGGCGGTCAGGTCGGGCGGGCGGACCCTGACCAGGGCGGTCGGGGCGGATCCGGCGGGGCGGGCGGTCCCTCCGCAGCGCGGTCGCTCCGGCCAGGAGGGAGACAGGGCATTTGTTGGCTCTCGCTCCTGACGCTCCTCGTCCTCCCTCCTCCTCCTCCCTCCTCCTCCTCCTCCTCCTCCTCCTCCTCCTCTCCTCCCTCCCCTCCTCCTCCTCCTCCTCCTCCTCCTCCTCCTCCTCCTCCTCCTCCTCCTCCTCCTCCTCCCCCTCCCCCTCCCCTCCTCCTCCTCCTCCTCCTCCTCCTCCTCCTCCTCCTCCTCCTCCTCCTCCTCCTCCTCCTCCTCCTCCTCCTCCTCCCCCTCCCCCTTGGGCCTCTCTCCCCTCTCCCTCCCCCCCTGCCCCTCACGCGGCGCGGACGCTCCCCGCCTGGCCCTCGTGGCGGCTTCAGCGCCGAGGTCGTGCGGGTCTCCCCCGGGCGCGTGCCCCTCGTCAGATCGGCGCCGGCGCTCCAGGCGGGGAGAGCGGGCTCTCGCTCGATGTGCCTGTTTTCCACCACCACCACCATAAGTTGGAGGGGGGACGGAGGTGGAGGACGAGGAGGAGGAAGAAGAGGAGGAGGAGGGGGAAGAGGAGGAGGAGGAGGAGGACCCCCTCCCCCTCCTACTTATGGTGGTGGCGGTGGAAAAGAAGCCCACCATCGCCGGGTGGCCTCGTCGCACCACCGCCTCACAAGGCGACGGCAGGGCCTCTCGCTCGCTTCCAGAGGCTCCCCCGCCCAGGTGGCTGTCTGTGGATCTCCCTCTCGGCCTGGGTCCGCACTCGAAGAAGGACACCAGCATGTTCCCACCGCGCCTGAGCATGAAGTCGAGCACGTGCCCCTACAGGAGGAAGTTTCAAACACAGTCAACCAAGACAGTCAGGGGACGATGTTTCTTTTATCTGTGACCTCTTTCGAGCATTTTGACAATTATTAGATTTGCGTCCCAAGTCCGTCTGTAGGAGGACCTGCCTGACCTAACCTGAGTACTGAGCTGCACGAAGTGCACCTGGGGGATACCGCCGCAGACGAGGCCACCTCGGGAGGCCTTTCCTCTGCAGGGTCGCGGTGTAGATCAGGCTGTCAATGAAGTCGTCTCCACGGGCTTGCCCTAATTAGCTACAGCGCTGCCGTCAGCGCGTGCGAGAAGGCTGGGGAATGGCAGCATGCGTTGTCGCTGTTGAGAGGGTTGGGCAACTCAGCGCTGCAATTGGATGTCATCGTTTACGGTGCTAGCATCAGCGCATGCGGGAAGGGCGGGCAGTGGCAGCGGGCACTGTCGTTGTTGAGCGACATGTTCGACGTGAATTTGGAGCTGCAGGTCATCTGTTATCCAGTTGCGCTGCCGCGCATATCCGCCACCGCGCTCTTGGCAGCGACGGAGCGCGGCAGCGGTGGGGTAAGGTAGGCAAGGCAGTTCTGGGCCAGAGGCTCCCATATTGTCTTGGAGAGCACCACGGCTGCCCCAGAGGGCGCCAAAATGGCCCAAGAGGGTCCCGCAGACTCTCGAAACGACCTGCGAGCTCACAATGCCCCACAAGAAAACGAAGAGCCAAGTCGAGCGGTCGATCCCTAATTCACCGGCTGAACGGGTCGGGTCGGGTCGGGCGGGACATCTCAAGAGGCTACAATCCGTCAAAAGCAACCTGGTTTTCATTGCGTGTTGACTTCTAGCGCTCTCGCGACGGATCGCCCTTCGAAGCCTCAGAAGGCTCCAGTCTGGCCCAGAGGCGCCCCGCGACGGATCCCAGAGCGCCCAAGGTCGCCCCGAGAGGACGCCAAGAAGAGATGATTTTGACGGCCCCTGACGGAGGCGGGGTGTCCGGGGGTTGTCCAGGAGCCTTTGGAGCATTCTGATGCCCTTTCTCCCCCGACTCCTCCTTTTGTTCCTCCCCATCCCTGCCCCCCCCCCTGTCTTTCGACCCTCCCCATTTTCTCTTCGCCACTAGCCCTGTCCCCCTCCTTGTCCCCCATTCAGGCTGCTCCCACTCCCCGCCGCCTTCCTTCTTTTCGACCTCGTCGTCACGTTCCTCCTCCTCTTCCCTCTGCTCTTTCTCATCCTCCTCTTTCTCATCCTCCTCTTTCTCCTCCTCCTCCTCCTCCCCCTCCTCCTCCTCCTCCTCCTCCTCCTCCTCCTCCTCCTCCTCCTCCTCCTCCTCCTCCTCCTCCCCCGCCCCCCCCTCCCTTCATCCCCCCCCCTCGCGCCCACCGTGGGGCGAGCGTGGTCCTATCGGGCGGGTCGGGTCGTGCGGGCGGGACATTAAAGTGTGATGGGTATGCATAATGACACATGGTCACCTTAACGGGCGGGTCGGGACGGGCGGACCCTATCGGGCGGGTCGGGTCGGGCGGGCGGAACACTAAACTCTGATGCGTATACGTGAGAACCCTAACGGGCGGGTCGGGACGGGCAGGCCCTGTCGGGCGGGGCGGGGCGGGACGGGCGGACCCTATCGGGCGGGTCGGGTCGGGCGGGCGGGGCACTAAAGTCTGATAGGTATGCAGCATGACACAGGAGAGCCCTAACGGGCGGGTCGGGACGGGTGGACCCTATCGGGCGGGTCGGACGGGCGGACCCTATCGAGCGGGTCGGGTCGGGCGGGCGGAACACTAAAATCTGATGCGTCTACAGTCGGGGCGTCGACCTAAGGAACCCTAAATAAGGAACGAGGCCCCTTTTCCTATCGAGAACATAGGAAAACCTGAGGCAAGCTGTGCAACACTTAAGGAACGCGGAGCCCCTCCCCAACGAACAGGGTTCCTTCTTCAGGGCCCCGACTGTACAGTCTGCCTCATCTCTCCTCCTCCTCCTCCTCCTCCTCCTCCTTCTCCACCTCCTCCTCCTCTTCCTTCTCCTTCTCCTTCTCCTCCTCCTCGTCCTCCTCCTCCTCCTCCTCCTGCTTCTCCTTCTCCTCCTCCTCCTCCTCCTCCTCCTTCTCCTTCTCCTTCGCGGTCTCTCGCCCACTGCGCGGGTCGGGTCGGGCGAGCGGGGCACTAAAGTCTGATGCGTATACAGCATGACACATAAGAACCCTTAAGTGGCGGGTCGGGACGGGCGGACCCTATCGGGCGGAGTGGGCCGGGACGGGCGGACCCTATCGGGCGGGTCGGGCGGGCGGACCCGAACGGGCGGGTCAGGTCGGGCGGGCGGGGCTCTAAAGTCTGATACGTATACAGCATGACACATGAGAACCCTAACGGGCGGGTCGGGACGGGCGGACCCTAACGGGCGGGGCGGGCGGCGGACCCTATCGGGGGGGTCGGGGCGGGCGGGACAGGCGGGACACTAAAGTCTGATGCTTACACAGCATGACACATGAGAACCCTAACGGGCGGGTCGGGACGGGCGGACCCTATCGGGCGGAGTGGGTCGGGACGGGCGGACCTAATCGGGCGAGTCGGGCGGGCGGACCCTAACGGGCGGGTCGGGACGGGCGGACCCTATTCGGCAGGACGGGCGGACCCCTATCGGGCGGGTCGGGTCGGGCGGGCGGGACACTCAAGTCTGAAGCGTAAACAGCATGACACATGAGAACCCTGATGGGCGGGTCGGGACGGGCGGACCCTATGAGGCGGGCCGGGCGGGCGGGACATTGAACTCCTGATGCGTATACATCATGACACATGAGAGCCCTAACGGGCGGGTCGGGACCAACAGGCCCTATCGGGCGGGTCGGGCGGGCGGACCATATTGGGCGGGTCGGGTCGGGCGGGCGGGGCACTACAGTCTGATGCGTCTACATCATGACACATGAGAAGCCTATCGGGCGGGTCGGGGCATTAAAGTCTGATGCGTGTGCAGTCTGCGTCCTCGTTCCTCCTCCTGCTTTTTCTCCACCTCATTCTCCACCTCCTCTTCATCCTCCTTCTTCTACTCCTCCTCCACCTTCTCCTTGTCCTCCTCCTCCTCCTTCTCCTTTTTCCTCCCCCTCCTCTTCGCGTTCTCTCGCCCACTGCGCGGGTCGGGTCGGGCGGGCGGGGCACTAAAGTCCGATGCGTAGACAGCATGACACATGAGAACCCTAACGGCCGTGTCGGGACGGGCGGACCCTATCGGGCGGGTCGGGCGAGCGGACCCTATCGGGCGGGTCGGGTCGGGCGGGTGGGACGCTAAAGTCTGATACGTCTACAGCATGACATATGAGGACCCTAACGGGCGGGTCGGGACGGGGCGGACCCTATCGGGCGGGTCGGGTCGGGCGGGCGGGAACTTACAGTCTGATGCGTATGAGCACATGAGCACCCTAATGGGCGGGCCGGGACGGGCGAACCCTGTCGGGCGGGTCGGGTCGGGACGGGCGGACCGGGCCGCCTTGGGCCTCCAGAGCAGCTGTGAGGCGTTCCCTGTCGCCCTCGGGGAGCTGCGTGTAGCCCTCCATCGCCGTCGCCGGTGGCAAAGGGCCGTCCACGCAGGCCATGTGGGACCACTTCTTGCCCGCGTGCGCCTGGGAGCCCACGGGGCGCGTCACGACGCCTGCCACACGCCACTCGCCCGCCTCGAAGCTAGCGGGCGGGTCGGGCGAGCGGACCCTATCGGGCGGGTCGGGTCGGGCGAGCGGGGCACTAAACTCTGATGCGTGTACAGCATGACACACGAGATCCCTAACGGGCGGATCGGGACGGGCGGACCCAATCGGGCGGGGCGGGTCAGGGCGGGCGCACCCTATCGGGCGGGGCGGGCGGGCGGACCCTATCGGGCGGGTCGGGTCGGGCGGGCCGGGCACTAAAGTCTGACGCGCATGCAGCATGACACATGAGAGTCTTATCGGGCGGGTCGGGACGGGCGGACCCTGTCGGGCGGGTCGGGTCGGGGGCGGGACACTAAAGTCTGATGCGTATACAGCATGACACATGAGAACCCTAACGGGCGGGTCGGGTCGGGTGGACCCTATCGGGCGGGGCGGGTCGGGACGGGCGCACCTTATCGGGCGGGGCAGGCGGGCGGACCCTATCGGGCGGGTCGGGTCGGGCGGGCGGGACAGTAAAGTCTGACGCGCATACAGTGTGACACATGAGAGCCCAATCGGGCGGGTCGGGACGGGCGGAACCTATCGGGCGGGTCGGGTGAGCGGACCCTATCGGTCGGGTCGTGTCGGGCGAGCGGGGCACTAAAGTCTGATGCGTATACAGCATGACACACGAGAACCCTAACGGGCGGGTCAGGGCGGGCGGACCTTATCGGGCGGGGCGTGTCGGGACGGGCGGACCCTAGCGGGCGGGTCGGGCGGGCGGACCCCATCGAGCGGGTCGGGTCGGGCGGGCGGGACATTTAAGTTCGATGCTTATACAACATGACACATGAAAACCCTAACGGGCGGGTCGGGACGGGCGGACCCTATCGGGCGGGTCGGGCCGGGCGGGCGGGGCTCTAATGCTTGATGCGTACACAGCATGACATATGAGAACCCTAACTGGCGGGTCGGGACGAGCGGACCCTATCGGGCGGAGCGGGTCTGGGCGGGCAGACCCTATCGGGCGGGTCAGGCGGACGGATCCAAACGGGCGGGTCGGGTTTGGGCGGGCGGGACAGCTAAATCTGATGTGTATAGCATGACACATGAGAGCCCTATCGGGCGGGTCGGGACGGGTGGATTTCCTCGATTGGCGGGGCACTAAAGTCTGATGCGTTTACAGCATGACACATGAGAACCCTAAAGGGCGGGTCGGGACGGGCGGACCCTATCAGGCGGGTCGGGCGGACCCTGTCGGGCGGGTCGGGTCGGGCGGGCGGGACACCAAAGTCTGATGCGTAAGCAGTCTGCCTCCTCTCTCCTCCTCGTCCTCCTCTTCCTCCTCCTCCTTCTCCTCCACCACCACCTCCTCCTCCTCCTCCTCGTCCTCCTTCTCCTCCTCCTCCTCCTCCTTTTCCTTCTCCTTCTCCTCCCCTTCCTCTTCGCGTTCTCTCGCCCACTGCTGTTCCTCCTCCTCCCCCGCTCCTCTCCCTCGTCCTTCTTCCCCAACGCGGGTGGACGGGCGGTGGCGCAGATCTGCGACGACGTCATCGTCGTCGTCATTGTCGTCGTCGTCATCGTCGTCGTCGTCGTATGTGTCGCCTGCCGGCGGCGAGTAGGAGGGGAGGGGGTGGGGGTCGAAACCCCTTGGGAGAGCCTGGGAAAGGAGGGGGTCGAACCCTTCCCCCCCCCTGGCGCAAGAATTCGTCGTCGGCGTCGTCGTCGTCGTCGTG